TGATGGACGGTGGCAGTCTCCCTGGGACTGGGCTGCAGCAAGTCTTGCCCCAGAGGTCATGCCATTCTGCCTTTTGCCATAGGCAGCAGGACCGCATCAGCCTCACCAGGGGGGTCAGCGCTTACAGGGGAAGATCCACTCCCTTAGCAGTTGAACACAGGCTGCTTTGTTCTGCAGCCTTGTGGAGCCAGAAAAGTCTTTAAGTTAGGTCGGTGGTCTGGGGGTGATGAGGCAAGGGATGTCTGCGCCCAGTCAGAACACTCGCCTGGTTTTCCCAGCATTTAGGGGGTAGCCATCACTGAAGTAGGTTTCTGGATATTTCAGGGACCTGGAGTTTGCTACCTCTCGGCCCCCACCACGGTGAGGTCCCTGGGACCTAGGAGGAAGTGGTGCTGGGCGGGGCAGTGAGTGCCAGTCTCAGAGGTCTCAGTGCCCGCTTGGGACTGTCCTGGGCTCCAGTGAGTTTGGGTCCCCAGGCCCAGAAGGCGATGGCCCCCTAATACAGCAGCTCTTCCTGGAGGTCCGAGCCATACAGCTCGGCCAACATCTTGAACCTGGGCCCCCAGTCATTGAGGAAGTCGTAATCGGTGTCGGAGTCGGAAGAATCGGTGCCCAGGGAGCTGAGGGACTCGGCGACGGACTCGGAGCCCTCGTAGCCGTAGACGTGCAGCGTGTCGTAGGGCGGGCCGCCGCCGTCGTGGTCCGCCTCATCCTTCTTCACCTCGATCATCGCGGCCATGTCCCCGGACCCGCCGTGCGCCCCGGGCGTGCGCCGCGGTGGCTTCTGCACCCGCGCGTACAGCGGCGGCCGCGCGTCCGGCGACAGCCGCGGGGACTTGGCTCCGCCGCCGTGGCGCACCGAGTTGAGCACCGACACGTCGTAGCTGGTGGTGTCCATCTCGCCGCCGCCCTCCTCGTCGTAGGTGACCAGCTGCTCCTGGATCTCTGGCATGCTCTTGCCGAGGGCGCGGGCCTGCTTCCGGAGCCGCCGCCGCAGGAAGATGAGCAGGCTGATCACTGCCGGACAGCGAGCGACAGCGACAGCAGTTAGACACTGCCGGCCTGGGGGACCCCCGCCCCCTCCCTTCCTCACCCTCGGAAATTCCAGGGCCAGCCCGGACTCCTCCATGACTGGGCCAACGTGGACGCCTGGGGCTCCACCCGTCCCCGTGGGACAGTCATCTGTCCCCACACTCTTGGTCCCACCTGGCTGTCACAAACACTGGTGTGCACGAGCGGAGAGGAACAGAGTGGGGCTCGCTGGGGTTCTTTCTCCTCTCTCCCTCTCAGCTCTGTTTACCCGCATCCTCATTTCCTTCCTCCTTGTCCCACTGTGGCGAATTCTTCCACGCCGTGTCCCAAAGGCCAGGAGGCCAGAGTTTGGGGCAGAAATGGGGGAAGGGATGGAAATGGAATTTGGAGTGCAAAGATTCTGAGTCACTACATTGCTGATGACTGTGTTGATGACGGTGGATATTGGTGGTGCCAGTGGACGTGGGACTCATTGCAGTGGCAGCAGCCACCCTCTTGAGTACCAGCTGTATATGGGCTGGCACTGCATTGGGCACGTGCTCATGTTACTTCACTCAACGTAGACATTATTATCCCTATTCTACAGTTAAGCAAACTGAGCTCAGAGAGGCCAGGGGACTTGCCCAGAGTCCCATGTTCAGGCAGTGGTGTGGACATCGACCCTGCTGCAAGCTCTGAGGGGTGTGGCTGTGTGAGGGACTCAGCTCCCTGAGGGGGAGTGGACTGTGTGGTACAGAGAGCTCCCAAATTAGGCTCAAACCATCCCCTGGGCTCTGTCCTTGAGCCTTTAACAAACTGCTGCATAC